TAGTCGCGGGTAAATCCCACCTGGCAAAACTCGGCGCATTCACTCAACGGCGCAAGGAAATATGTATTTCTCTTTGTGAAATCCATGGTATAAGCGTCCATTCTCGTAATAATCGGGCGGAGGCAATTGGTGATCCGAAGAGGGGGCAGGGGCAAGTGATCTATGTAATCAATTCAGTCAGCGCATGCATGAAAGCTCGGAAATGTATAGGCAAAAGCAGAAGAGCAGGAAACCCCGATTCTCGTTCGATAGTTGCCAATGCGATTGGCGTGTGCGAAGGCTTCTCCCGATACCCCAGGGAATGGCTCTGGGAGCAGAGGGGATAGAGAGCACGTACAAAATGTTAGCCATGGCCATTGCAACAATCATTAAGTGAAAGCCGGCTTAAGATCTGTCGCGAACAGCCTTTGCTTGTTCTGCTAGCTTCGTAGCATAGATTAAAGTTTGCGTATATGATACCGCAATATTGATGTCGAATTCTTCTCCAGTGTATGCTGGTCGATTGGGAATGTCGAGGGAATCGAATGGTATATATGGCCATGCAACCACTATAGTATTCGAGTATTCGAGTATATCGCCTAAATTCCGATTCCTGGCTTCCTGCCTGTTGGCCGATTCGAATTTAACCTGAATAATCTGATATACGGCTGTATCTCATGGAAGTACGAGAGTGGTTGTCGAATAACGTTGCTCTATAAGTGTTCTAAAGAGCCGCGCGAAATTGTGGTGCTAGGTAGTGTCAAAACTTCGAATTGAGTTGCTTACGGGTTGAAGCTTGTTCCTTGGTATTAGTTGCCTGGCGGCGGTAAAGCTATTTTGACTTTTTTTTTTATGGCCCCTGTCGTGCTTCGCTGTAGCTCTCTGTAGTGACTTCTTTTTTTAGTTAGGGCGTACAGGTAACCGGTAATGCCTGTGGATAATGATTATGCTAGTGATATATCTCGGTTCTGGGGTTGGAATTCGCAAGTTTTACAGCGTTCAAGGGTAGGATCAAGTGTCAATGGCTTGTCTAGTGATTGGTAGTAGTGATGACGGTGGTGGTGAATGGTGGTAAATGGTGGTAAATAGTGGTAAACAGTTGTAAATAGTGGCAGTAATTTCTCGCACACAGTGGTAATCGTGGTGAATAATGGGTAGGTTGGAAAACAGCTTTATGGGTAGGCTGATTGTCTTTATGAAAAGCTGGACAGATTTTGGTTCATTTCTATAATAGAATCGACCCACAGGAGCTCAGATGAATGCTGAAGAGAACTCAAATTGAGCGAGAAATGAGAGGAGAGAAGTCTAGAGAGCAATAGCCCTGAAGCTTTCAAGCATGGGCCTTGAAGGAAAATGATCGACGGTCCCCAAAATTTTCAAAGTCCAAAAGATAGATAGATGTGTTAACAATCCATAGTTTTGATATAACCCTAAGAACCGGACGAAGTTTCAGAAAGTTCTATTTTGGAAGAAAGATTGGGATGGTCAAATGAATGAAGAGATGAGTGGATGAATGAATGAATGAATGAATGTATTGGCTGGTTGGTTGTATTGGTGTATGTATAGAAATGGATCGATCTGGGTTTTGGGTTTTGGTCGTGGTACTCTGCTTTCCAAGCCCCCCACTTCTGCCAAGTGAGAGTCCAAATTGGGATTCTTGGGTGGTGTTCTGTCCCCAAAAATCTTAATCCTCGAGTGGAAAGCTCTTGTACGATAGTATTGTAAACTCCCTAGTACCTAGTATGTACTGTGAAGTGTGTACTGTGCACTGTGCACTATGCAGCAATTGCAAGGTTACTACTGTACTTGTGCTGTACTGTGCTGTGCTGTGCTGCAATTATTTCCGTACGATCGTTGTGTGACACCGCCAACGATGTACCGTCCCACACCAATTGCCAATGGAGGAGGAGCAAGAAGATGATGATGATGCAGGAGAAGAAGAAGGAATTGCTCCCCACTTTCTTCCTATGGGCCTTCGAAAATAGTCTTAAAAAGAGGAGAAGGATATGAGTATAAGAAGTGTGATAAGTGATGACAGATTGTGTGATTGGTGGTGATCCGTGGCTGTACGCCAAGTACCTACTAGGTAGGTAGGCAGTAGGTAGTATGTTTGGAATTCGGAAATCTAGTCCAAGTATCTTGGTATGAATCTCTGATAGCAATACTGGGGAATGAAGAAGGGAAAAGCTTGAAGCTGCAAATTAATGAACGACGTATTTCTAGCTACACTCCTGCGGTACTTATAGGAAGGTTGAGATCACCATCAGTGGGGTGGGAAATGTCCCCCCTCCCCAGAAAAGAAAGACTGGTTACTTGATTGGGTGTTACATTGAAACAGGCACATTGTTGTATATTGGTATTTCTTGTTATTGGGATTGTGTAGGAGTACAACGCTTCACGCCACCATGGTCATGGCCCATGCAATCACTTTTTTTCTTAGCTATTCTTGTAGCCATTGTAGGCTAGCTAAGGGTTATGATACCATGGATACTTATCACTGGGGAAGACTAAAATGCTTCCGTTTGCCAAATGGAATCTTCACGCCACTCGATTGCATTTGCACGAGAGGCACAGGCACAGGCACAGGTACAGACGCAGAGAAGAATGGGTAAGAGCTGGCTAATACCCTCACTCTCCTACCGATGTAGTTGGTCTACTGAGTCTGAGTGTGGATGGAAGTGGGCTCGTATGCAGAGTGTATGTCGAGTTCACCAACAAATTCATCATTGACTGGGTACTTGGGTACTTGAGTACTTGGGTATTTGACTTGGACCTCAATTACATAGAACAGCTGGCGGCTTGCTGCTCGTCGTTACAGACCTAGGCTGACGATACTGTACAGAGTAGGTAGTGGTGATTTATTCACCCTTTTTTTTCATCTCGACTTCGTTTCTGTAACCTCCCCCCCCCAAAAATCGGTCTATCTCGAATTCATTCTCCAATGAATTACCTTCGCGCCTAGTGTCTTCCTCAGCAGACTCTAAACCGATGCCGAAACCTTACAATAATACAGGCGCTGAGCTAGGTATTTTATCCCATGTCCCCATCCCCATGCTAGTGTCGGAATATTGTACCACAAGGATCCAAGTGGGCGGAGCCGGGATGAAATTAGCGGCACAACTTACCGTTCAAAGCCTTGTCTAAGATGTCTTACTCCTTTCTCCCTCCCCCATGTCTTGCTTGGCATTGTCTTTTTTTGATTCTGAAAATAAAATCAACCGATTTCCAACTCGGATGTACTTGACAAAGGACCCGGACATTCAGCGAGGTCAATTCGAAGGTGATGTGAGCGAGATATAGTCAGTAAATGGAATAGTTTAGCCAGACAAAAGTATGGGAGAAGTGGAGAATGGTAGAGTAATGAACCCAGAATGGCTCGAGGGTAATCATTAATATGAGATTGATTATAATGCACAGACAATGTATGAAGGAAGTTTATCACCCTTCCTTAGCAACCCATTTGATGCTTTCCCAGGTGTACGGAGTAAGGTGTAATTCAGTAGGTACGCAGCTAATAGCCAGCTAGCTACCAATGGAGTAGACTGTACGATGGATAGAGAAATGATATCATACATCAATGACATCCCAGTTGCAAATTTATCAACGAACTCCAAGTAATTATTAGTCTTATAAGTCTGTCTTATGTTCAATGGATCCAAAAAGGTACGACTTATTTTAACCTTATGTATCCAAGCAACCAAGTCTACATTTTGTCTAATATTTCATGCTCATGCTCATGCTTATGCGAAATATGAGCATGAGCATGAGCCTTTCTCCATTGAGGTGGTTGCACATGTTGTATCACATACCTAGTACACATAATACACATAATATACACACACACATATACACACACACATACACACCCAGATCCTCATTCCCGGAAGATCAATTCAATTCGATATCATCTTCCGCGTTGAAACGTAAGACCGATATGATTGGATGCTGGTGAAGCCTCTAGAATGTTTCGCAATGATCCCATTGCAGTGGTTCATTGATTTAGTGGATTGAGGATGAATATGTAAGTTCTACAAGTGTGGGAGCACAAGGGCTCGACTTTCCATTTCTATCAATCTTTGCACTGACTTTCAGGCATGATCCCTTTTCGTGTGGAGTTTTATGCGGCACTAATGCCCCGTGTGTAATTTTTATGAGATTTTTGTTGACCCGACGACGATAAGTTGACTACAAGTAAGACTTTACAGGATGGATAAGGTTAATGTATCTACCTAGCTAAGTATAGGTATTAATACTATAGAGGTATTCATCAGTATGCCAGGATTGATAATTCAATCTCGGTGTCTATTTAAGATTACCTACGAGTTTCTACATTATCCATATTATCCATACTTTCGTCAATTTCAATATATCCAATGAAGGCTCTCACCTAACTTATAATAAGATACCATCTAGATAGTATACACTCAGCACTCTCCAAATGAAGCCTGGTAGATACACTCGAGCATCTTTGAAGAGACGATCATCCCACTCTTTCTTAATTTCACTTCAAAACATTTGATTCTTATTTTGAAATACACCTGTGCAAGTCTTACTTTGATATCGTCCTTTGATCTTTAGTTCGATAACACCAAGGAATTAATTTCATTTCTCCGATCATTTTTCTAATATTAACGAGCGTCGATACGAACAGGACCATTCAATCTTCACATTCACCCTTTTTTGAATACGTGCTTACCCTAGGCACCTACTCCACTTGTGCCTGAACCAAACCAGACGCATTTATGGAAATAGATGCGAGTGATCGTCAGAATCCCGGAGGTGAACTTCAACCCATCACGATTCGTGATTCTGCCATGGTTCAAAGCTCATGCATACCTGTACAGTGTATGCATCTTTCAAACCTTTTTGTGCTCGTTGTACTCACACATTGCATCTGCCATCGCATCTACATCTAATAAATTTGACCCTCACATTCACCATCAGCATCTGCATCTTTGCATCCACGTCGGGCAGGACATGTCCAGATACCCAAAATTATATCGGCGTTTACCAGGAAATTACCAGATCCTCTTTGAACTAGACATGCCTTTATTCTCTTTACCGCCATTTAACACAAGCTCTATCGAAATTCCAGCAGTGTGGTAACCCCCTGCGAACGTTTCATCATGGAAAAAAAATCCAGGATGAAATTTACGAGAGCTTGTCGGTGTAAGCCTCATTTCCACGCTTTCAAAAGCTGAAAATGCTGTGAAGATAATACGGAATACGCTGCATGTAATGAATGCATGCCAAAGTGCGGGAACCCGTGGAGGAGTAATATTCTTTGATGTCAAAACCCCTCTCAAGTCATTCTCAAGTAAGATTTTAACACCCATATCACACCGCTCAAGTACAAAAGCAATACTGCAAGTTGTATCATATTTCGATTTTATACTCGGGCCTGGTAAGCCTCCACACGTGTAGCTGTGAGCGAAAATTGTCGCTTCATTCGTATGTGTTATGATTAACCGCTCTCAGTCTCTCTGGTTTAGGATATGGTTGGTATAGAATGGGTCGCTTACACATATACAGACAGGAGGCTAGTCTATATACTCCATATGCTGCTGGACTAGCTACAGTTTCGGCCGAACTACCAACACTTGAACCACTAGATCCTTTCCTTGCCACTTTCCTTCTTAAGAATAGTGGGAATTTGTGGAATCTATTGACTCCACTTTTTTGACGACCCGACAGTTTGGTAACAGCAATGTGGAGAATCCTGCGGCACAGGGCTACAATGTAGAAATAGTCACATGGGCCACCCACCGTCACCTACGTACGCATCATCCACCTTTTAGGAGCGAGGCGCTCTATCCGATATAGTCATCTATCAATGGGAGGGAGACGATCCGAAGATCAGAACTGATACCGACCGAGGTATTTACCCCTAATTGAATTTGAATTTGAATTTGGATTTGATTTTATATCTATATTTATATTTATGTTTATATTACCTACTCGAGTAGTACTTTCTACTTTCAGCAAGATTCAAAGAATGCAATGTACCCTTGATTATTAAATCCTTGTCATTATCAATCAATCGAGCCCACAATTTTCAACTCGGCTTATCAGATGATCTTTTGGCTTAATCCGCTTGGCTTGGCTCTAATTGTATGCTTTAAGATTCGGTGTGTTTGGGGGGCAAAAAGGAAAAGAACGAAAGGAAGAAAGGATACTATTCTATCATTCTATAATGTAGTACTTTCTCATGTTCAACGTTACAATCAATGCTTCGAATCGCAATGTCTCGCTTTTGAAGACAATTAATACCAAAGCTACCAATCTATCACCAATCTATCACATCATGGTATAAACTATTTGATTTAGGATATTGTTATCTACAAAACCTTCGACCTTGACCAATTCTGGAAGCAGGTGGATTCAAAATGAAACAGGGATCTTCTGCACAAGTCCATGGAGCTGGGTCTGTATTCCGTCGGACAACAATGTGGCTAAAGATTGTGACACGAAAGTAAAAATTGAGATCCGACAATAATCCCCAAATGCTCGATCTGATGTCTCAGAAACCCGTAGAGTATTAGAGGCGTTGATCACATTCTTCTTTTCGTCTGCTTGTTTGTTTTGAATCACACTTTCCGCCCGCAGGTAAATCTTGTCTCAAACGGCACATTGCAGCTCTAGAACATCGCTGAAACAGAAACAGAACAGACTCGACTGTAAGGCTGGAAAAAGGTATCGTTGTCCTTTCCTACGTATGCAGCCTCCCGCATCGCCAAGCCACTTGAAGACCAGCAAACACTTACAGAAATATGATTCTCAATCACTGATGCTGCTGCATTTTCTTTCAAATAAGTCCACTGTGAGAGTTTCTTGCTGTGTTGCACCATCTTCTACTAATCACATGTCCAAGTAAATGGATTTACTGTACAACTCATCACATCCACAGCCGCTGCTTGCTTGCTTTCACACCTCGTCTCCGATGCCAACATTCGTAAATAGGTACCTTCAAAGTAAAGAAACGTCCTAATTTCTGACCAAACACCCCTTACCACGGTTTATATGTTTCCATACCAAATACCTGATTGGCAAGAACCAGGTATCTGGAATTTACTTACTTAGCTGGTGCGGCGCCAACATGCAATACCATACAACACTTACTTCGCACACTAAGGTTAAACCTCCCAATTTCTTTTTCTTCATTAATCTTCTCCTCTCCCATTCGAGTACCACTCCGAAACGATGTCATTATTCGGATATCCCCTGCTTATCCACCCCTTTATCCTGAAACCTCGTATTTTTGGGGTATAAGCTAGCTGTCTAAGAAAGAGCCAGCCTTCTAAGTTCTCACTCGTGTCACCATAGCCATGTACCTAACTTCAGGTTTTTCCCACAGTTGGTCTATCCGCATCCCATACCGAATTCCTGGAACGAAAGGATTTCATCCCTGCTATACATAGTAGAAGTGGATAAATAAATAAATACATAAATAAAATACCTACCTGCCTAGTCAGCCGGCTCAACATCCCCCCATTTATAAATATTATCGGGAGTAGTGCGAAATCTAGATTCCGCTGATTATCTACCTATATTATGCATAAATTCCCGTGGCATATATCATTGGCGTAGCGTGCTAGTCTTTATTAATTCTTTCATTGGTGCATGCATATATGGGTAGAGGGCTCGGCATGTCAGCAAATTCGCAATACATTCATCGGTTCGCTCCGTCGCGCTTAGCTAAGGGGAGAAAGAAAGAACATCCATCGGTCGGTGAGGGTGTCAGCACTGTCACTGTTACTGTCATCATTTTTTTTTCAGCCCTGGACTGCGTTTGCTGTAACCTTTACTGCATACTCTAGTAAATCTTTATTATTGAAGAAGACCTTCCCCTACCCTGCGGAAAGTACAAGCTGAATAAATTCGAATATCCGGTCGGGAAAACCTTAAGGTTATTTGCTCCTAGTGTAAGTACGATGTACATCTTACCTATCTGTAAATTGAATAACGTAATTTATCACCGAGTGGGCCATATCACCGAGTGGGCCACTTTCACCTCAATTTACACTTTCAAGTACATATTATTCAACAACAATTAAATCAATTGATTGAAACTATTAGGAATCTAATAATCTAGGATCTATTATATTGATTTGACAAGTTCTTGAATTATGACCTGGCTTTCCACACTTACTACAGCATCTACTAGAAGATGCTTCCCCATTAGAATTCCCCCCATTTTGACGCTCGTCGCGTTGAATCTGAATATCAACCTCTTGTTGAGATAATATATCCATAGCTTCTTGTCCAGTAAGTACTCCTCCTTGCCGTAATTGAGTTTTTTTTGCACGTCGATGTTTGCTTAATGCCTCATTTGCCTTCCGAAGTGTACGGTTTTCTGCACTTAAAAGTGTATTTTCATGTGCCAATCTTTCTGTGCCTTTAGCTAAAGCTAGTACAGTTTTGAATATAGGTGTAGGAGAGCTTGATTTATGACGAGATATTCGAGATTTTACTAAAGTTGATTGAGAAAGAGCTTCAGTTGGATTGTGAGGGGTTTGAGAGATCCAAAGATCCAAATCGAAAGGAGGAGGAGTAGGTGTATGAATTCGAATATCTAATTTTGAGAGTACAGCTTCGGGATTAAATGGTATTAATCCAGCTCCTCGAAACCCAGCTTTCATATTCTGAACTGTAATTGATTCTTGATATGCAGCTTTAAAAGCTATAAAGAATTCAACCTTGGAGATATGATTGATATGTGCCTTGATAAATCCATCAATTTGACAACCATACGAACGTTTTAGGACACTAAAACACCCAACATCAAGTGGTTGAGTTAAATGACTTGAATGCGGTGGTAATCTTATACATATAATATCATTTGCCTTGCAATATGACTGAAAAGATATTGATTCATGACTTTCGTGTCCATCTAATACTAACATTCGATATTTGCCCTTTCTTCGATGAATCGTATGTTTATCGAAATGCTTTAACCATTCTAATCCTGTCTCATTATTCGTCCATCCATTGGAAGTAGGTTTGATAGCCCAATCCGCAGGAAAATCGGTTTCGGTGTACCAATTGGAAAGATGGATTTGTCCTTGAACTACCAGAAATGGAGGTATAGTTTCACCCTCCCCATTACCACATATAATTGCTGTAGCCCATTCTCGATTGCCTGGTTGTACTGCTTTACCTCTGCCTCGTCGTTCAGCATCAGTTACAACCATTGCAGCACTTATAATCCCCATCATAAAGCCTGTTTCGTCGAAATTATAGAAATCGCAATCCAGAATACCATATTTTGCTCGCATATTCGATACCAATCGAAACCACTCCTCAAGAAGCTTAGGGTCTTCGCAGAGAGCTCTTTGAAAATCATAAACACGACTAAAACGCGTCTTTAATTCTGTATGACGCTTTACGAATCGATGAGCCCAGAGCTTTCCAACTTTCTTCGCATTTCTTGATTCAAGAATATAATTCGCCATATCTTCTACACCCTTGATTTTAGGTGGAAATCCTCTTCGATCCATATCAAGTATGTATTCAACAATCACTTTCTCTTCTAATTGTGTAATCTTATGGCAATTCGCTCGAGTTTCTGTACGTGGAGTTAAACCATCCATTCTGTGGCTGATCGTTGTGCGAGGTATATTATATAGTTGAGCAGCCTTCCGAATGCTTAGTTTTTTATCTTTTTGAAAAGCTTCGATAGCTAAGAGTAAACGTGCTTCTTTATTTGTAGATTGCATAATAAATGGTTGATAAAACGCGTGTTGAATATGAAGAGTGTGAATTGAGGTGAAAGTGGCCCACTCGGTGATATGGCCCACTCGGTGATAAATTACGTTAGCTGATTCATGCCTGATTATTACATTACATACATTCTTTCTTTTCCAAAGTTGGTAGGTACCTATAATAAATTACAAATTTCCCCCACAGAACTCTGACTCATCACACAACACTCAAGTATTTTCTTCACATCATCCAATTAGTACGTATTATAGCTTAATATGTAGTATGTAGTGTACATCAGAAATATATTATCACTCTATATCAATTTAGAAATTTATACTCTAAGTAGTATAAGAAAGACCATTGTAACGATACTGTACTGGAGGCAGCGGCTGCCTAAGGTTTCGTCTGGTTGGTAGTTATGGGTTAAGGCTTTATCACTGGTATTCACTTGGAAGTGAAGTCGTTACTAGATCAAGTAGAATGTAGGTAAACTAATTGATAACTAAGTTGAGCACGAAGCTCCTAAACTATGAAACTATTCTGACTATATAATGAACAATAAAGGGAGCCCCTAGGAGCTTTCTGGCTCCTCAGGGCTCCTTATCACGTGATTCCTTTCTATCTTAGGACACTAATCCTAATGGTGAATCGTGACAAATAAATTGATTTATTTAATCAATTATAATATAAATATTTGAAAAGAATTTATAGTTTATTTTTAATAATTTTTTTAGAAAAATTATTTCAAACTTGTATATAAATCTTATATAAATCTTATATAAATCTTATATAAATCTTATATAAATCTTATATAAATCTTATATAAATCTTATATAAATCTTATATAAATCGAAAATCAAAATTTCAAAATCTATTTAATTATATAATAATTTTGTGATTAAAATTTCAATTAATTTGACTCATTGATTATTGAATGATTAATAGATCAAAATTGTTATTTTTGGTGTAAAAGAGTGGTCTATATTAAAGATAACTGTTACGAGGTTTGCCGTCTAGATCACGTGGAAGTGCTCTAGTGTTGGGTTTCTTGAGACCAGAAAGAGCATCAGATTGAATTGATTGATTCTCTAGCTAAGCAGTTAAGCTGCGAGTATATATTCAAAAAATGAAGGAATAGGTTAGGTATTCGGCCTTCGGAATTAAAGTGCTTTGAAATCAAAATATTGAAAGCAAACAAACAGTATACCAAAAAGGAAAGAATAAATTAAAAGTTGAGTTTTGTTTGCTCCTTATATGCATCATGCAATATACATGCATATGCTGCCAAGATCCCAGGAGGTCAACATCTAGGCTCTCGAGGTGGTTTATAACTAGGCGTCAAGCAGGAACTTAAGTAATGACAATGATGCAATTCGTAACTAATAGTAGAGTATACTAAATGATTGATCTTGATCTTGAGCACAAAGCTCTATACAAAGGGAATCCATCTTGATTATATAGACCTTCGTATTCCAACATTGGAGCGAGGGAGCGAAGGAGCGAGATTCGAATCTCGCTCCTTCGCTCCCTCACAAGACTATTCATGTGATCCTATAACACGTGATAATAGTTTATAATGTTACAACGTAACAATAACCCAGAAAGAAAGTATTAGACTTATATCGAATTTATAAAATGATCAATGTAGAGATGATATATTTCACCCAGGATTGAGACAGGGATAGATTCTTATATTTTTAATTTAATTATTACCCAATTCTGCATTATTTCTCACGTATTTCTCTCCTTTATCGACTCAAATAATAATTAATATGCATTCAGATTGCTCAGATTTCTAAACCTGATATTGGAGGATGATCTTGAGATTCTCAGTATTGCATCTCCTAAATACTTCTTTCTACTTTGAGTATCCGAGAATACATATATCTGATAATCTAACATTTTCAATACATTACATCACCGCTTCCACAAAGTCTCACTCCTGCTAATGTATCCTTCTTTTGTATTCCCTGTAGTACCCAAATGCAACTTTCCAAACCGACAGTTATTTATTTTCCTATTCTCTGAGATTTTTTTAGTTCTTTTTCTCCACGCAATATCCTGTACGAAATATTTGTTTATCTAATTATCCCCCCGTTTAGTATCACAAATTATTTCGCACTCCTACTCTTCAATGCTGACATCAAACATAGCGAATTTTTCTATATTACATTATTGCCATCCTCTTAGCGAAATGTAGTTATGATGAGAGTTACATTTTTACCAAAACGGCCATACGACGTTCAATTGATCCATTATTTTCACCTCTATCTCTTAGCCTAGAAATTCAGCTGCATGCAAACCTGTGATTGCACCAACTCTGCACTCAGATTCCATCCATATCTCGTGAATAATAACATGGTATCCCTTTCGAAAAGCTCCTCCTCTGTCCGTGTGAATCTTCCATAAACGCAAGGATTGAACGGCTGCATGGCATCGAAATTATCCTGTTTGGTTCTATCCTGTACCTATCAATTGGAAATACTCAACGGGACAGTGAATAATAAGACTCGAATATGTTGATCGATATGATCCCGTTTTCTAGCTCGTCTTTATCTTGTATAGTGCTTTGCATGTATTAAGTCTAGTACCCGACTTTGCGACCAAACCCCCCTTTCGGACTATCTTTTACATCAAAAACCTTGATTTTCATCTATTAATAATTTTACAACGAATGAATTAATTCGACTAAAATTTGATTCATAATTAAATTATAGCGATATAAATACATTCTGAAAAATTCCGGATTTTTAATGACTTTATTGATTGAGATATTGAAAGTTGAATAGTAATTTTATTTTAGATAAGATTTATATACAAATTCAAAATCTTAAAAATCTTAAAAATCTTAAATAATTTTTCAACAAAAATTATTAAAAATAAAATATAAATTCTTTTAAAATATTTAAAAATATATTATTTAAAATCTTTTATTACAATAAAAAATAATTTGTAATTATGTTGAAATTAAGGTCATTATGGGCCTAGAATTGAGGTCATATGACCATTATGGTGCACGGACCATAATTGGGAATATCTTCAATTCTACCATTACTGTAACTTAAATCCTTAGTTTAACCTACATCTAATAATACTACTACTTCCAAACAACTCAGATTCAACAAATTAATGATTTAATAAATTTTTTTTATTTTACTAACAAAATATCTGTATAGGAATTCGTAAAACTTTAATAAATCATTAATTACAAACTTTTTTGGTTATTGAATTATTAATAGATGAAATCATTATTTTTGATATAAAAGAGTGGTCCGAAAGCAGGGTACTAGACTTCACAAGTTGATATATTTATATCTATCAACAGCTCGAAACCACCTGCGGCAATAATAGATGCGATAGTAGAGGACTAAGGATGAGGACACGGAAATAGGCGATGTTGACGTCAATGTCGAGGTGCCGCGAAGCTTAAGCAAGCAAGCCAGAAAGCGAGAAAAGCCACTGTCAAACATTGCGGGTTAGTACTTTTAGTGTATATCTAAATCACCTTGAACCTTATCACTAGAGTCTTTCCCAAACATGGTTTTGCTCGAAGCTTTTAGGGTACTCCATCTCGTTTTACTCTTCTTACTAGCATTACATTGAGAGGAAAACATCAATACACTCAAAAGCAGAAGGAATTCGGAAGATCTGTTTTTAGGAGGGCATTAGGCTTCAGTATTTCCAAGTTAGAAGACAGGCAAGGGGCTCCTCCTTGTACTTATAGCACAATCTTCGGAATATTAAAAAGGAGCTAATTATAGCTGATCAAATATTCTGTATTAACTTTCGAGATCATCATAATCTAACATAACACTGCTTGACATTATAATATCGATCTAATCTTCATGGTGTCGTGCCTCCCCTTTCATTCTTCGGATAATATCAAAACCCGAGGTTTATCCGCACTTCCAGCTACACAAGGAAATCGTAACCTAACTCGTGTACTCATTACCGAGCTGATGTTACTTTTGAGTGTAATCTGTATGTTTATTTTGCTACCGAATTGATGAGTTGGATTGGAAATATTCTATCTATGCCTACCTAGGTATGCTTTTGGCTCTCCGACGGACGTGAATAATGTGAAATTTAAAAGAAATAATGACAATTTGAGGAATGTGAACTAGGTTCATCTTTCAATATGTGCTCTGTTCGGCGCCATCAGTCACATGAGCTTAAAATTCTCATGAATTTGCAGCAACGAAGAGATTAAGCTTGCCATTTACTTTCAACAAAAATTCCCATAGATTTGGTTTTGTTATTCTATGTTCTGGGCTGCCCGATCAAGTGAGATCGTGCCACGCCTGTTCCTGTCATCACTTATTGGGAATTGGCTTACAAGTCAAGACGAAAGGCTTTTGATAAAGCTTATGGTATGGATTGTATGAATATATGTGAAAGTTCTGGAAGATGAGACAAGTAAATTCAAATTTTATATCCACCTTGTGCTAAAACAATACTGCTATTTATGTTATCTTGAAGAACCCTAATACTTGAATAGTAGAGACTAATACAAGCTCATGAACGGTTGTATATTCTACCTCCATCAAGTTGCCGCAGTGCCACAGATACTCTGTTTCAAATCGAGCACTTGGCATTGCGTACCGTTTAATCTACTGAGCGCGTCTCCAAATATTCTGCCCTACGTGCTGAAAGCCAATCAAGGTATTCGCCACCCTCTTCCATTAATTCCCTGGGCATACGCCTAGAGATATGCCCGTAAATAATATAGGCCCGTTCATCCATATATGGCGGGAAGCCTTTTTTGCTCATTTCCTACACATTCAACATCAGTACAGGTAATTTCTCATTTTTCAATGCTCAACCAAAGAATTAAAAATAGTAGCTTACATTGAACCAGTCAACGAGCTTGATACGGACATTAGCCAGCGCATCAATTTGTCTGTAGAAAGCACCTTTGTGGTCGCTTTTAAAAACAGGGCTATTTCTGGTAATAAAACCATGTCCATTTAAGGTCATAATAGCACTGTGTATTTCTGGCCCGATAGGATTATTGCAGTCCGGCTCGGTAGTGAGGCTGAGATATATTTCGACATGGTATTTTTTACGATAGTTATCTTCTTGCTGAGATAGCTCATCGTATTTCTTTGGGTCCATCATCTTTTCGATTTTGTAATGGTGGTGAAGAGGGTCCTATGAAACTCGGATGATGAAGTGTTGGAGATTTTGATTGATGGATATGATTTTTAGATGTCAGGTGGATGATAAAGACTTTGGTTGGAGTAGATGGTGTTCTTGGATGTTGTGGACAGTTACAGTTGGAGGTCATTAAATATTGAGTGGAAGTAGCTGCTAAAGTATGAACGGTAGGTGGCCGGTTACCGTATCTCGATTCAAACCGTACTAAGGTAGCAAATGGACATATAGATATGTTCAGAGACACTGGGCTTGAGATAGGTTTTGGATTTGGCCGTATTAATAAGATTACATTGGAGATACGAAATATATCTGCCTTTGATTCACTGCTTAAGCGTACCTAGTTTGATTTGACCAAGTTTCAATCACACTTTGACATTAGAGTCTTAATACAAATATGCCAATAGAATCTTTTTTTCGTGATGCTCGTCAAAATGGTCACCAGCTGAGAGATAACTGAATCACTCGAGGTTAAAATCAAACACAAACCAGAGTTTATTCCAATATTCTCGTCACATCTTATTAGACCAGGTCGATATTTAGTATAGATGTCAGAGCCTGAGGTCTTGATGGGTTTCTTGCTAGGCCATTTATCGGAGGTGAACTCCTCTTCTGCTCTGGTCAATTTGGATTTTTTGGCGATACGAGCTTGATTTAAGGCGTTTCTTGTGTACCCTTTTTTTATTACAAGTTGGAGTCTATCATATTCATATTAACATTAATTTCTGTTCAGTATCATTGAACTCCGAACTCTGTAGTGATATTGGACTTGACGTCCATTAAATTGTGGGGCAATTAAATATAAGCGAGATAGATAGGAACAACCATTGATGACGTCGAGGAATTGGACTAAATATCGTGGATGACGACTTCCAATATAGCACTGTTGAGATCTTCCAAGATCTTTTGCTACTGGTAGTAGAAGCATATCAATGTTCTGGAGAAACTCCCGTTGGAAGTGCTTCCGACCGGATCTTCCGATCGAGTTAGCGGAGTTTTTCTTGATAATGAAGAGCACCTATTGGGTTTATTGAGACTAGAAAGAGCATCAGATTGAATTGATTGATTCTCTAGCTAAGCAGTTAAGCTGCGAGTATATATTCAAAAAATGAAGGAATAGGGTTAGGTATTCGGCCTCCGGAATTAAAAGTGCTTTGAAATCAAAATATTGAAAGCAAACAAACAGTATACCCAAAAGGAAAGAATGAATTAAAAGTTGAGTTTTGTTTGCTCCTTATATGCATCATGCAATATATATGCATATGCTGCCAAGATCCCAGGAGGTCAACAGCACCTCTAAAAGTGGGTGATAATAGAACAGTTTGAAGTTCATTATGTTAATGCAGTATTCTATGAATACTAGTAAATTAGTACAAATCCCGCTTATATATTCATCTACTTCGTACATCGCGAAGTTGAGAAGTGTGGTGCATAGACAACTTTCAATTGTTGCACTCACAGCAACGCAAGTTCGCTTGTTAGTACTAATGAAATTAACTTAATGCAATATTATACCACAGTAGAAGTAGTATGCATATGACGCGGTGTTCTGGTATCACTGCTTTAGTCCGTCGCCTTATTGCTTTGTTTGAATTATCTCAGTCTGGCTGCCACGGGCGGTCGGATTTGGATCTATGCCATATCTTCAATGCAAATCTAGCTTTCGAGTAGTGCTTCATTTTTGCGTTTCACTTCTTTTGAGTCTGCTTTTTTTTTGTTTGATCCTCTCTCCTCCCTCACATGAATAATTATGCTTTTGCTTTCCGTCTGCATATGTCGTATCATGGTCAAGCGCTTTCGTTGACAATATTGTCCAGCTTACTTCATTCTTTACTTCCAACTCCTACACGAAGAACTTGCGGGCTATATTGACAAATTTGATTGCGAAGCGGATGCTAGTGAAAACATTAATTCATCTATCATGGCTTTGTATTTGTAGCCTAACATAGCTCAAGTATTAAATCCTTATCTTTGTAATATTCACTTGGATTCGGAATTTATTCAATTGATAAACTAAATCACAATCATCTTCATCACCAGTTAGCTCAAATGGAAAGCGGGAGGCTCTTGCACAACCAAAGCTCAAGAGGATATTGTTTTCACTTTGCCTTTACTTCAATCACTTCTAGCAATCTTCTCCCTTGATCGCACTGCATGGTTACCTTTCTTCTCAAATCGCAAAAAATGTAACTATCATCTAAAAAGTTGAAGGAGCTTTCTCACTTGACCCAATATGTCTTCCCATAATTTAATATTCAGGTAATATTCGTTATTTAATCTTTACTATGTATATGCGATTGTTTAGCTCTAAATACCTATGTTTTGATGAACCCAACATGTCACCTCAGTCCAGCTTATTGTCCAGCGTTTCTCGTGTCTAATAATGTTCGAAGGGAGGTTCGAATCACGTTACTCTTGTACACTTCTGTCTTCCATAATCTTTCTATCAACCCATAAGTAGTTCTCTTTGCTAAGCCAAGTCAGACTTTTGCAGTCGTCTCATTTCATTCTGTCTTTAATATAGCCACCCACGTGATGCCCCAGATGCTCCCAGAGTCAGCCAGAAGCGTTCAGCCGTGAACCATAATTGTCTCTCTGGCTTGCGTCCTGCTGATTCAAGTATTTTCCACCAGTCTTCAAAGAAGGTTTAATATGACCTATAATGCAAAACGCAAGTAAAGAATAAAAATTTCCCTAGTAAGTTTCGCAGCACACAGTCGAAATTCAGTCATAACTTTGGTTTTTTTTTTTTTTTTCTCGAACTGGCGAGCCTTTATCTTCATTCAAAACTAAATTCTTCGACCGACCTTCTCAATTTCAAACTATCAACAAGCAAGCACAACCATCTTCCCCTTACATTGAAAAACATGACAGGGTGTGGAAAGGTTTGCCATCATGAACGCCAATAGTGACAGCAATGATTCACGCCACCAGCACAGGAATAAATCAAAACATGGCGAGAACGTTGACAGCAAGACCGGTCCAGTTCGTGAGCTTTACGACTATTGCTAAAAGCAAAGATGCGACCCTCCCAACTATATCCCGACCACAATAGATTGACACGGCTTTTATCGGGATCAATTATCTTCAGCAAAAGTCCCGAGTTCCGCGTAAAGAATAGGGTCAGGAACAACAACGAGGCAAAGATTGATCTAGCCAGGCAAGCCTTACACTGCATTCAAGTAAGTAACTCTAATTATCCTAAGCTCCGGGTTTCTATATACTGCCAGAGCGGTTCAAAGGCCCAAGAGTCCTTCTCTGTCCGAGATGTTATATGATCTCGTTAATGGTGGCACTACGAGTCGCTACGCTCCTAAGATTACATTTTCGTAAGCGAAAATCAGATACCTAGGAAAAGACAAGTTTTACATTTCCATCTTTTGTTATCTCATATTAAAGAGTAACGGAAATAGTATATTTCTTTCTTTTAGTAACCAGAGATAAATCCAATTATTCAACTCAGCAAGACCAATTTTTACTAAAAAAAAAAAATAGCTTGTAGGTGGAAGTAAAGCATACGGGACCAGAGGAATAAAACCTTAATAGAGCTAATTACCATAAAGCTAAGCCGAATCTCCAAAGCTTATAGGATGCAAAATTTCAGGTAAAGTGGTTGGTATGAGATTATATAGACATGCGCGTCCTTTTGGTATTATCAAATTTATCGGATTCTTCCCTGTCTATCATTTGTATGGCGAATCTGAATTCTGAACATAGAAACCAATTCCCCTCATCTCCAGCTCAGAAATTCACCCATAAGCCTAGCTGGTGCAGGGATAAGATCTTATTGAAGTGAACGCCAAATGACTTTAACTTCAATTTCATGTACTACTAACCAATCATTCTTTACCTCAAAGGTTTCGTTACGGATATAAAAAAAAAAAATTAAAAAAATAAAGAATTAGATTTTAAAAGCGATAATCTTACACAGCTTTTCCTATAGGAGAATTTGAGTATAATATGCTCCGAATCTTGAGTTGTGAAGAACAGAGGTAATTAATTCTGTGCACTCTCCAAGGATAGCTGTCTTTGATTGTTGAGATATGAACTCACGAGATGGTTTATAGAAATAAATGAGGTTGTGATCAAAAGGGTGTTTATAGACCAGCAATTGTATTTAACTTAGAATCTACAGGTGAAGAGCACCTGTAGATGAGGATAGCTACTCTATATATACACAAATGAATGGCCTAGCCGCAATGGCTAGGCAAAAAGAAGTCATATTTATCCCTCCAATGATCTTACTTTACCGATAACCATTGATACCTAGTACTTGTCCGGATCTGATCCTCAGACAACCTAAATCGTATACTAATCCCGAGTAATCGTATCATGTGTGGACATGGTTAATGTACCTGAGGTTTCCTATATAATAAGGGTGGGAGGAAAGCAGGGGTTTCCGTCACAGAGGTAAATGAATACAGATTAAAGAAAAATCGTATAATTATTTTTTTATTATTTGTTCCCCACCCCCCCCGTATAAATTATTATAATTAAGTAACGGATTTATAAATTGATAAGAAATATTAAAATTTAAATATAAGAGTAAATTAATTAAAGATTTTGTTAAAGTGAATGGTTCCTGCGTAGCACGTGCACAGGGCACTAGTCCTATTAGGACTAGATTGAGAAGCTCTCTGTAGGAGAGCTTCGCACTTCCGTAGAACTAAGATAAGGGGTGATTCTTACAAAAGTCAATATAGCCTCAGATCTGCCCTATCAGCTTCTGTTACGAGGGTAGCCGTCTAGATCACGTGGAAGTGCTCTAGGCTCTCGAGGTAGGTTTATAACTAGGCGTCAAGCAGGGACTTAAGTAATGACAGTGATGCAATTCGTAACTAATAGTAGAGTATACTAAATGATTGATCTTGAGCACGAAGCTCTATACAAAGGGAATCCATCTTGATTATATAGACTTTCGTACTATACATCCCATCGCCTCCCATTATGTCCCACTACCTGTAGTTGAGTGATTCTAGGTGGGACAATATTGGGTCATGTGACCATAAGCTTATTCACCTGAGTAGCTGTTAGGATTGGTCGTAACATTCCGGTCATATTTTATATCAAAAATCGTGATTTTCATTTATTAATAATTTTATAACGTGGTTTATCAGCGAGCGGGCCATATCACCGAGCGGGCCACTTTTACCTCAATTTATATCTTTCAACTTCAATACGCGATTTATCAACAATATATTATGGAATCGAATAATCAAGAAGGTCGAATACTTTTAGCTATTGAAGCTATCAATAAAGACCAAAAATTAAGCATTCGGAAGGCTGCTAAGCTATATAATATCCCGCGTACAAAGATTCAGCGCAGAATGGACGGTACTACCCCTCGTATCGAATCTCGAGCAAATAGTCATAATTTGACCAAATTAGAAGAGGAAGTGCTTATCCAGTATATAATCGATATGGATGAGAGAGGGTTTGCACCTAAATTAAATGGTGTAGAAGATATGGCGAATTATATCCTCGAATCGCGGGGTGCGAAGAAGGTTGGAAAGCTCTGGGCTCATCGCTTTGTTAAACGATGTCCAGAATTAAAGACGCGTTTTAATCGCGTTTATGATTTTCAAAGAGCTCTCTGCGAAGATCCCAAGCTTATTGAAGAGTGGTTTAGATTGGTATCGAATATGCGGGCGAAATATGGTATTGTCGATTCCGATTTCTACAATTTCGACGAAACCGGCTTCATGATGGGTATAATATGCTCTGGAATGGTTGTAACTAGTGCTGAACGAAATGGTAGAAGCAAGGCAATACAACCAGGCAATCGAGAGTGGGCTACAGCAATTATATGTGGCAATGGAGAGGGTGAAACTATACCTCCATTTCTGGTAGTTCAAGGACAAGTTCATCTTTCCAATTGGTATACCGAAACCGATTTTCCTGCGGATTGGGCTATTAAACCTACTTCCAATGGATGGACGAATAATGAGACAGGGTTAGAATGGTTAAAGCATTTCGATAAACATACTATTCGTCAAAGAAAGGGCAAATATCGAATGCTAGTATTGGATGGGCACGAAAGCCATGAATCAATACCTTTTCAATCATATTGCAAATCAAATGATATTATATGCCTCAAATTACCACCACATTCAAGTCATTTAACTCAACCACTCGATGTTGGGTGTTTTGGCATACTCAAACGTTCATATAGTTGTCAAATTGAAGGATTTATCAAAGCTCATATCAATCATATTACCAAGGTTGAATTCTTTATAGCCTTCAAAGCTGCATATTTACAATCATTTACTATTCAGAATATGAAAGCTGGTTTTCGAGGAGCAGGTCTAATACCATTCGAACCTCAATCTATACTTTCAAAACTAGATATTAGGATTCGTACTTCTACCCCTCCATCTACCTCCTTGGAACTTACCAACTCCTGGATCTCCCAAACCCCTCATAATCCAACTGAGGCTCTCTTACAATCAACTCTAGTAAAAGCTCGAATAACTCGTCATCAATCAAGCTCTCCTACACCTATATTTGAGACTGTACAAGCTTTAGTTAAAGGTACAGAGAGATTAGCACATGAAGTTACACTTTTGAGTGCTGAGAATCGTATGCTTCGAAGAGCAAATGAGGCATTAAGTAAACGTCGACGCGCTAAAAAAAATCAACTACGTAATGGAGGAGTACTTACTGGACAAGAAGCTGAAGATATATTATCACAATAAGAGGTTGATAATCAGATTCAACGCGACGAGCGTCAAAATGGGGGAAATTTTAATAGGGAATCATCTACTAGTCGATGCTGTAGTAAGTGTGGAAAGACTGGTCATAATTCAAGAACTTGTCAGAATAGTATAATAGATCCTAGATTATTAGATTCTTGATAGTTTCAATCAATTGATTTAATTGTTGTTAAATAATATGGGTTTGAAATGATAAATTGAGGTAAAGGTGGCCCGCTCGGTGATATGGCCCGCTCGCTGATAAACCACGTTAATCAATAAATATATGTTACGTTGCAACATTATAACTATTATCACGTGTTATAGGATCACATGAATAGTCTTGTGAGGGAGTGAGGGAGCGAGATTCGAATCTCGCTCCCCAGCTCCATCGCTCCAATATTGGAATACGAAGGTCTATATAATCAAGATGGATTCCCTTTGTATAGAGCTTCGTGCTCAAGATCAAGATCAATCATTTAGTATACTCTACTATTAGTTACGAATTGCATCATTGTCATTACTTAAGTTCCTGCTTGACGCTTAGTTATAAACCACCTCGAGAGCCTAGAGCACTTCCACGTGATCTAGACGGCAAACCTCGTAACACAAACCTCGTAACAGAGTGGTTCAAAAGAGAGATGGTCCAAAAGTAGAGTATTAGACTTATTGGAAAGTTTGTACATTAAAGGAATATAAATTCTCAAGATGGTTTATAGAAATAAATTGTAACGATACTGTACTGGAGGCAGCGGCTGCCTCCAGTACAGTATCGTTACAATAGTGTCTACTAAGTCCTATATTCTAATTATCATTTTCTTATAATATTTGCTTTCAGTTTGATATTCATATCAATGATTAAAATTCACGAAGTCAAAGTTTTGAAGAGACTCTGTAGTCTTTCGCGAGATACTAGAGAAGTATTACCATTGTGAAAATTCCCATCTCGCATAATATTTATGCCAAAATACACGGAATGTAACGCAACGTAAAGAAAGAAAAAAAGAAAGAAAGAGGGGGAAAAAATAGCTGCGACATCTTGTAAAGACCATAATTTCCTCCACTCTTAAAATCCTCTCAGTCCATCACCATTAACCCCATCTAGCCGATTTTTATCAAGTGCCAGAATCATTTTCTCAACGTTTTGGCAGATTCGTCTCATACCTCATCTTCCACATCATCCGAAAGCTTTCTTCTCTTCTTCGGGCCACCGAGCAAGGTAAGTGGTGTTGTAAAATCTGGCATCCCAGTGATGGGACCAGTACCTGGAGTATCAGAAATTTGTGTATTGCGATCGGTTTTGCCAAATGTGTCTTTCCCACTGCCATATCTTTCAGGATCAAGAGCTTGTGCATCCCGTAACTTAAGTTTCTTGATGTCAGTCTAAATGAATTTGAATATATACAAGTCTGGTGGAACTTACTGCAAGATTCTCCATCTTCAGATTGCGTTCTTGACTAGAGAACAGTTCAGATAACAGCTGTAGGTATTATAATCAGTGCTGTTATTATACCCTGGGTGACACACCCGAGATTTATAGGACCAAGGGTTTTTCCATTATCATTTGAGATTGCCAAGCGTAGACAATGTTTCATATAAACAACTTAATTTCTAATCTCTTCTTTAGGTGTGTGTTGCAGACTTCTAACCATATCCTCGTAACTCTTCATAAACACTCGTTCTTCTTTTGCATCTGAAATCCCCGCCGGAGCCGGGTTTTGCTGCAAGAATTATTTTAACTTAGGACCTTAATGTGTCATTATTTCTTGTGCAACTTACATCCCATTGCAGTAATGCTTGTTGAGCTAATGTTTGTCTCAATATCTGACTTGCTTTAGGATGCGATGTTGAAAGATCTCCACGCATGACGTCCATGGAGCTAACGTTGTAAGCACCTCTAATTTCTAATGAGCTAAAGATGCATCCTTGTGCCATGTGGATGCTCCATTCAGGTCGAAGGCCTTCTTCAAGATTTCTCCGTGTAAGTGTATACAAGACAATCTTGGGGTCAGTGCCATCCTTTGATTCCAACTCTGACTTGTTCAATACAGTGCCCGATTCTTGCGACGCCGGGAATCTTCTTAGAGATCCATTATCGTTCAGGGGAGCTCGCTACTTCCTAAATAGTTAATTAGCAAAAGTAAAGGTTATATGCAATCCTCCGTGGTAAATTACCAAGCCAGAAAGTTGCCAACGCAGGATTTTAGGGAAATTATTTTGTTGTAAATTGTTAGGTTGGAGATAAACAAAAGACTATTAGACATGGTTTATATCAGTATTTGAAGTACTACGGCTACTGCTACCACACCGAGTGACGTAATAAGGTCGACTTGACTTGTGATGCTAACCACCAGAGGCTAGAGCATGAGACAGTATATAATTGAATTATCTGGACTAAGTTTGTGCTAAAAAAAAATTACTACAGGCTACTATTGACTATGTATGCAGGAACGATGCGCCTCAGAAACAAAAGTATATACTTCTTTCCTCGCATTACACTTTTGAAAAGTATATGCTTTTGATACTGTTTCATGAAGATCGGCTTAGATTTCACCGAGATTGTATACTATTCCCTACACGTTTGGAAAGATCATTAAAATCAAAAGTACAGAGAACATGTGTACTCCTCCATTTCGCATTTTTTTAATCTAAGTATTCTCGTCATCCACACCAATCCTTTAACGAACTTTCACTGTTCAACCTTTAAAAAAATCATTGATCCACTTGAGCCAAAATATTTTTAATATATATATCTGCATTCTGAAGTAAAATGTGTGCATTCGTTCCACCAATTCAGTTCACTTCATTAAGGAGTGCAAGACCCATTCCTAAGCCAATACATCCATCAATTCTTTTCCATCATGCCATCTCTGCACATTCTCAGCCTGTTGCCGATACCAATCATTCATTTTATCTTCTTCAACATAACCCATGTGCGGACTCAACAATACTTGACTTCTTCCCTCCTCTCCCCATTTTGTGCTTCTCCATTGATTATCCGCTGGCAACGGTTCCAAATCAAAGACATCTAGCGCTGCCCCACGAATCTTTCCCTTCTGCAAAGCATCCAACAACGCATCCTGTTGAACAAGAGGTCCACGTGACGTATTGACAAACAAAGCGCTCTTCTTCATTAAATCCAGGTCCTTTTCCCCTACTATTCCTTTCGAACGATCACCTAATACTAGGTGCACGCTAACTACATCCGCTGTTGAGAACAATTCTTCCTTACTCACAACCTTGAATACTTTCTCGCCGTCCTCATCCTCTGTAGCAAAACGACAGTCCCTAGCCTTCTGGTCTGCGGCTTCTTGAGTCAAACTTGAGCTCCATGCTATTACTTTCATACCAAACGCTGAATACATAATTTTGGCTACACTTGTACCCAACTTTCCTAAGCCCAAAGTTCCAAGAGTTTTTCCAGCCAACCCTGTTGCCAGCGTTGTTTGCCAACCACCTTCCTTGACTACTTTATCATCCCAGGAAATATTCCTTGCAATACCCAGAATCAGTGCAATAGTATGTTGAGTGGTGCTATCTGGTCCCGTCTTTGAATTTCCCGAAGTACCAGTGACACTAATCCCATATTTCTTAGCAGCTTCCATATCAATGCCCTTGTTCCTATTTCCTGCATTGAGGAGAAATTTCAGATTGGGGAGCTCTTTTAGAAGCGATGCAGGGAATGGAGTCCGTTCTCTCATAGATGAGATGATTGTAAAAGGCTTGAGCCTCTCCACAAGCTGGCTCTTGACATCTTCAGGGGTTGAAGGATCGTTATAAGGTAAGAGGGTATCTGGGAAGGTGGTGATCTCAACGGTAGGTTTAAGCGTCTCAAAATGCTTCAAGGCAATTCCTTGATAATCATCAAGAATAGCCAATTTGATAGGTGACCGAGGAACGGGAGGCATGATGATAGATCTAGAGTAGTTTGAGTAGTTTTTGAATTTGAACTGTTGTAGGACGAATGAATGCGGGGTACAAGGTGGAGTGACCACAATATACTGGAGTAGAGTCTTACACTGTTCCAAAAAGTACGAGTAAGGGGGAGAGGACTACCTAGTGTGTTGCTGTCGGTTCGAGCTGTTCAAGAACTCTATTCGAGGGCAGATATCCGTAGGGTCACGAGGAGAAGATTAGATTTAATCAATCAGCCTCAAAATCTATAGGGGAGTGAAGAACGAGGTATCCGAGGTCGGAACCAAGACATCCTTACGAAATGAAGGGGGGATCTCGCTCAAACCCCACGCTTCGTAGAATAAGGGTAACCTGTGGGGTACCATCGGGCATACTTATGAATAGTAAACACCGTACACAAAAGTCGCTTTGATCAATTCAACATTCAACCTGGTACAAAACGGAGAATACCTTAATTACTGCGCAAGCCGTTAAAACATGATGATTGGAGCGCATGAAATATTCAATGCTTTTTTCCTGGTTCGCTTTTCTGTCATGGATCACATTTCCCTTGGTCGGGCTCTCTTCCGCCGATCTTTCCCTGCCCCACCACTACCTTTGGCGGGGATTTGATGGTATATCAGTAAATGTGCTCTTTGGTACGTATGGGGAATTGGTCTGATGAGCTGAACACGTATAATTCGTGGGGAACTTCTGGCGGAACCACCTCATTTCATTGGAAAGGATAGCAGAACGCGGATAATTCTACTTTCACGCTATCGAAACTCGTGGGTCAGTTGACAAGTATAATATTTACCACAGGGGATATTCTAAATACTTCAACTCCTTCTATCCCTCAGGAAAAGTATCTACCAAAGACAAAAAGCAGTCACTATGAGTCCTTCAGCAGCAGAATTCACAGAGACCACAATGGCGAAGCCTACCAAGTCCAACATTGGTGTGTACACCAACCCAGCCCATGACCTGTGGGTTGCAGAAGCAGAACCATCTTTGGAAAGCATTGAAAAGGGAGACTCGTTGAAGCCAGGAGAAGTTACGGTGGGAATTAGAAGCGTGGGTATCTGCGGGTGAGTTCCAATGCATTTTTACGCAAAAGATCATTCTAACAGTCATTGCAGGTCAGATGTACACTTTTGGCACGCTGGGTGCATAGGCCCAATGATTGTCGAAGATACACACATACTTGGTCACGAATCAGCTGGTGTTGTACTGGCAGTTCATCCATCGGTTGATAGTCTCAAGGTCGGTGACCGTGTCGCTGTCGAGCCAAATATTATTTGTGGTGAATGCGAGAGATGTCTTACTGGTAGATACAATGGATGTGAGAAGGTCTTGTTCTTGTCGACACCACCGGTTCCAGGTCTTCTCCGCAGATACGTAAACCACCCAGCTACTTGGTGTTACAAAATTGGCAATATGTCATTTGAAGACGGAGCGATGCTGGAACCTTTGAGCGTTGCATTAGCTGGCCTAGAAAGAGCCAACGTTAAGTTGGGAGACCCTGTCCTCATCTGCGGAGCTGGTCCTATCGGTCTCATTACCCTCCTCTGTGCTAGAGCAGCCGGAGCTTGTCCAATTGTTATTACCGATATTGACGACGGAAGACTTGCGTTTGCCAAGGAGCTGGTTCCTTCTGTCATTGCACATAAAGTCGAGAGATTATCTCCGGAGGAAGGAGGCAAAGCTATCGTAAAATCTTTTGGAGGTATAGAGCCAGCAGTTGCTATGGAGTGTACTGGGGTTGAAAGCAGTGTCGCTGCAGCTTGTTGGGCAGTCAAGTTTGGTGGAAAAGTATTCGTGGTCGGAGTAGGGAAAGACGAGATGACGCTACCATTTATGAGATTGAGCACTCGCGAGGTGGACCTTCAATTCCAGTATCGATACTGCAACACATGGCCAAGAGCCATTCGACTGGTCGAGAGTGGTATTATCGATATGAAGAAGCTTGTAACCCACCGTTTCCCATTAGAAGATGCTATCAAAGCCTTCGAGACGGCAGCAAATCCAAAGACTGGAGCTATCAAAGTTCAGATCAAGAACGATGAATAAGTCAGTGATCAATATTAATAAAAACTTTCATAGCAATAGTATGTATAGTGTAGATATTCCAATTAGATGCAAATGCAAATACAAATGTTTACGAATTTGATAAAATGGGAAATGTGAAGATTTATTATTCGTGAAATAAAGTCCTGCTTGAAAAATATCGAGGGTAGAATTCATTTGTGCTTACTAATATGCAATTTCCACACCACGGAACGTTCCTAAGCTTCCCGGCGTCGGCAAAAAAGTCGACAAGCATTTCTCTCGCGATTACACTTCACCACCACGAAGACCCCCCGATAATCGACACCTCGAGTAACGCGAGAGTCCTTTCCTTTCTGTTGATCGGCGCATAGATTCCATAATGTCATTACATATCTCCCGCACCGTGCTGCGGCAATCTATGAAGGCTCCTGGACGGGCGGCACGAAGATTTGAATCTACCTCCACTAAGGCCACCGAAGCAGCAAAAGATACTGCCTCAAAAGCTTCAGAGAAAGCATCAGATTTCCAGTCGAAAGCTAGCGAGGGTCTTTCTCGTGTCACTTCGTCAGCAGGACCTGCTATTTCGGGTGCTGCCAAAAACCTTGGAAATGCCTTGGGAAAAGTTGGGGGAAGGACTGGAAGATTGATTGCCTTCATTGAGCGTGAGTCTTATCTGCACCTCCGTGCAAAGAATTATTTCGGATGGTCTTAGGGCTCAATGGCTAACTTTGTGTGTATAGGACAAATCCCACCAACCATCTATTACACTCGTGTTGGATTAGAGCTCACCAAATTAGTTATCCAAGGTCAAAAGATGGCACCTCCGTAAGTTGGACAACGAAGTGTGCTTTTACGAAACTGTGAGCTGACTTATGGCTTGCAGACCAGCCTCGACATTCCAATCATACTTCCAAAGATTCGTAAAGGGAATTCGATCCGGAAACCCGAGGTCAGCTTTCAGTTCAGCAGCAAACTCTAGCACCGCAACACCTACTGGTTTGCTCGAACAAGTCCGAAATATTAGCAAAGCCCAGGTGGTCTCGGGTGGTGTTATAGTCGCTGAGGTTTTGGGGTTCTTCACAATTGGTGAGATGATCGGTAGAATGAAGCTGGTAGGATACAGAGGAGACACCGGAGCTCATCACTGATCTGGGCGTGATAAAGGGGCTGTGTAGGACGTGAATGGAAGTCAAGGTGAAGTGAACGGAAAGGGACTGGCATTCTACTTCCACCGCGGCATGAGAAGTTGCGGATGGTGAAATCGAGGTGCATTTGCACATATCCTGATACAAATTTCTTTGTACTCGTAGAACTATGTCTGTACATCACAAAAATAAACAGCATAATGGTGGTTTAGAGACTTTCTGTCCCTATCTTTGCACTACTCGGCGAGGAAACTCGTATTTTATATTCCACTTGGTACGGAAATTTGGGAGGTACTTTCCCCTCAAACTTTAACGATAATACGGAGGATGTATTCACCTCTCCTGTGGTGGTACGCTTCCTCGAGGCCTGCTCCCAACCTTTCATCATTTCAGGAAAGCTTATGCGTTCTATTATCCACAGTATACTCGGTCGGATCACGAATAACTGAAGATAAATCACATTGCCAAAGAGCCTCAATCATTTCAAGTTTGTATTGCTTACACGTGATAATACATAAGTAGAGGAGACAGACTGATGTGTGATTGACCACTCTCCTAGATGAACGGGTGTCTTAGGGGAGACTGCACGAAATCAATGTCTCGAACGTGCATGATAATACTAGTACTCCTACCCCAAGAAAGTCTCACCCGTTTTTGCATGATAGATCGAATTCGAAGACAAGATTCAAATCTTTGTTACATAAAAGAATATTATCACCAGCCTCTAAGTTGACATATATCACATGTATGCATTCTAGTCTGCTGGTATTTTCTAGTCTTCTCGTTTCCTCATTTCCCTTACAATGCTGTGCTGCAGACGAATCCGATCAATTAATCTCCCCATCTGCCGATATCAAAGTCTCTATTCATCTCGTTGGAAGGAACCTGGGAGATGGCGTCCAGGGATACCTTATGTGGGCGCAGATAGATATGTACTGTACCGTTCCTATCGACCCCTTGGCACGGTAGATAAGCTTCATGGTGCCGTTTGGTCTTTCATATTTTGGAACTCGAAGCCTCTTTGACTTTATGTGTATAATTATAATTTATTGTGATGGTCAACTACAACTATGTACAAACTATACAAACTGTACATAAGGGGGTCTCATGAGGTAATCGAAGTATTTTTAAAACTCTCCTTAGATGATAGAATAGAATATAATGTTCCAGATAACAATAACAATAGAACCAGTTCTCGAGTTTGTTCACAGACTTTTTCATAATCAAACAAATACCGACCTAGTCAAGGATACCTCCTAATTAGAATTTTCTCTTTCGGTGATGTAATTTATTATGTATGGCAACCAATCCATGACTTGGTCGCATCCTTCTTCTTCTCCTGGTCGTGTACATGATACATGATACATGAATAATACCCTGGGAACTACAGACCGGACGATACACGTTGACTCTTAACGCTTTGAGCCTGTTACACTTGAATTAGTTACTGGAATTGACGGAAAGTTCACGATAAACAGCCTCACAGCTTGTATACACACATACCTCCCTACCTATCAGGAAAAACATAATAAATAAACCATTCCTGGTAGCGGCGGGTGCACTTTCACTTGGACTTGGACTTGAACTTGGACTTGGCTTTGGCTTTTCCCTTTTACAAGCTACCGTGTGAACCCTTTATTACTAGGTATTTACTTGGTTTCTGCTTTCCAGTTTCCAGTTTCTAGTCTCTACTTTCTAGTTGCTTGTCTAAATAAGGTGCTTGTCATCCGCCGTCCATCCCCCATCCCTTCCCTAATTATCAACAACCTCAGAGAAAATACATTGTTTGCCCATCATGGCTTATAGTGCTCTTGATCAAACAGATCATGATAAAGATCATCATGATGACCACGAAATAAGCTCTGCTTCTTCTAATTCTCCATTCCAAGGCCTTTTACCAAGTCATCTATTTTTAGATGCGCAGAATAGCGATACGAGCCACAGCCAAACATGGTCTCCAGAGAACCCACAGAGTCTCAGTCAAATGGTACAATCGATTACCTCGAAAAGTACGAAAACGAGTGCCAGTTATGATATTTTAGAGGAGGACGATTACGAGGAGCACGAGGTAGAACGAGAGCAAACGTCTCCCTCACTGGCGCTATCACCAGAAAGGAAGAACGTCACATTACGAGAGGAATCTCCACCGGAGAAACCCCTAGTCGTGAGCATTCCACGGCCCCTTCCACGACAAAATACAGCCACAAGGTCGTCCAACAATACAACCTCTCCTATATCACCTCGTGCAGTATTCCCAATAGAACCTGCGTCCATTGTTCGTACAGCATCAGGTCACAGCATTGCCTTACGACATCCGACCCCCGACCTACAGACGCTGCAAGGGGCTTATGTAGGGAATATTGATAAATTAGAAAGGACAGCAGAACGATTGAGTATGACCTCCTCTATTGACGATGCCATTCGAGAACTCCATATGGAGCAGAAGCGCTCTGATAGTCGCCGATCATCAATTCTGTCCCAGCTTAACGAAATGCCGCAAGTGTCGAGAGAAGTTTCCAATCCCAGTTCCATCATCGAATTGAATAATGCAGCGAGGTCGGGAGGCTATTCGCCAGCCGGATATATGATGTCTCCAAAAGGCTCTTTCTCTACTACTACACTAGCAAGATCCGCGTCGAAGAGCTCGAGGTTCGGGAATCGACCAGAACCAGAATTAGAAGGAAGACCATTGGATTCATTCGTCAATATATCGTTTCCATCACTTGTTGATAATCCAACGCCTTCAATTGCGGAACAAGATGAACGTTCTGCGACCTTAACACGACCAGCTGCCGACAACTTCGGCACAGAAAATATGGCAGAGAGTATGGCAGAGAATATGACAGAGAATGTGGCAGAGAATATGGTAGAACAGGTCAACAATTCTAGGCCTCAAACCTCAACATCAACCAACACATTTGACCAGGCAGAGCGAATGTTTGCAGATTTTGATGGAGTTCATTCTGCACCTCTGAGAACATCTTTCGACTACGGCTTGGGTATGGAAGAACAGAGTAGGGCGGCTGACTTGGAGCTACACGAAGATGAAAGGGGATATAATGACCAGAGAAGGATATCATCCGGTGATCGACAGTCAATGGCTAGACCACAGACATACGCTGACCCAAGTACTGGGCAGCAGATGGTTTATTATCCGGCTAGAGTTCCCATGATGCTCAATTTACCCCAGAAACTCTCAAAAAATCCATCTTCTATGGCAAGAAATAAAAGAAGGTCTCAGGTGCTCAGCAACATTCCACCTGCTGCTCGGCAATCAGCTATCTGGTTACCGGACGTGTTGGAAGTGAACGGTGAGCCTCTGCCTGAGAATGACGAAGCGCAAAACCTGGAATACATTCCTCAGCACCAGAGAATGAGTATGGGTGGGCGGAGGAATACACAGGACCTATCGCATATGCCGGCCCACTTGAGAGCAAACTTATTTTTCGAACTGCCAGAGGGGCAAAGCAGTGCTATGGAGTTGAAAGACCAGTCAGCTGTTGCTACGTTGGATAGTATCCTCGATGCCTCTGCGCATGCTCCTGTCACCGCATTTGTAGACCATGCAATTGCCGGACATCTTGGCTCCGAGGTGTATGGAAAATCGCATCAACGAATCAAGAGCAACACCCAATTATTGACGCCGGATAAGCAAGACAAGCAAGATGGTTCAAAGAAACGGACGAGTTCATTCAACTTTCTATTGGGTCGTCGGGGAAGTAGTAATAATTTACTGGGAGATAATGACAAACGTGCTGCCTCAATGACCAACATTCAGGTAGAAAGAAAGGCGACGAGATCTCCCATCGAAGACGACGAAGATGACATCAATAACAAGGACACAACACCTTTACGACATACGCGCGGAGTCAGTGGTGCTACGGACCTCATACGAGCCGAGGAAGGTGAAGTAGAAAACGAAGAGGATGAGGGTCAAAGGGACGATGAAATTTACCACGGTCCACCAACCACACTTCTTGCCGAACTGCAGTTGCGCAAGCAGCAGCAAAAGATTCGGACTCGGCCCCCAGTAAATGTCAATGGCATGCAGTCTACATTACTCCAGATGGATACTGTTCTACAAAGGCAACAGCAATCCAGGAAACAAAAGCGGGTCAACCTAGCATGGCAAATTGGTAACAATGACGATCCAGATGCTGAAGAAGACGAGGACGTTCCCTTGGCCATGTTGAATGTAACAAGAGCCCATGCTCAAGAAACCAATCGGCCGCTCGGTTTAATGGAGAAACGTGCGTTAGAAGACAATGAGCCACTCAGTCGACGTAGGGCCAGGCTCACGGGTCAACCTATGCCAATGCCTCGAGCTAATACCATGATGCACATTCCTACAGGTAGTCCTGCTCTGGAAGAGGATGAAGGAGAAACACTCGCACAACGCATCCGTCGTCTGAAAGAGCGAGGGGGCACAGCAACTGGGTTGCCGGCTACGCGACCTGTCAGCGGCGATTTTGCATCTGAGCTGATGAGTCAACTCGGTGGAGATCTAATGAATGATGATGGCAAGGGCAAGGAAAATGAAATCTTGACAGCTCCAGTCAATGAAGAAGAGGAAACCTTGGGTCAGAGACGCAAACGTCTCCAAGCAGAGCGTGAAGCTCGTGAAAAAGAAGTCGGCACTGCTGGTGATGCAGAAGTAGTCCCGGAGCCTTTAGTCATTAACAAAATGAATAGTATGGCAGACATTCTCTCCTCTCACCCAGCTGCCGGCGCAAGCCGAAATTCCTCTTTTAGCAAACCATCCCGACCCGCCGCTGGTCTTCTGGGGATACATGAGAAGCAAAGCCAGCTAAGAGCTACCACAATCAACAATCTGATCACACAACAAAACTCGGCTCCTCGTCGTGTCCATAGTGGCACGCATAATGATCCCTATGCCCAAGGACAGGCTGGTATGATAAGACCACACACTTCAAGCTACAATCTTCACAACAGCACACTTTTAAGTAGTGGTTACCCCCAATTCGCTCAACAAGCCTCTATGAACCCTATGACGGCCCAATATGGAAATGCATACCCTAACATGGCATATCAACACACCATGTCTATGGGTGGCTATAATAACATGATGCCAATGCAGATGCAGATGCAAAACATCCACACAAACCCCATCACTGGCATGCACACTGGGCCTGGTGGCGAACCGCTCAATCAGGGACAACTTGACATGGTCGAGCGATGGAGACAAAGTGTAATGCACTAAATCTTTCCTCATTATCTAACTCTTAATTTTTTATTCTTTTTCATTTCTCGTCTGCTTTTGTGACATTTCAGGTTTCCGGGAGTGGGAGGAAGTTACCAACCAACACTTGAAAGGATGGATTTATAGATAGATACACAAGGAAGCAAGCATTTACAGTTGGCGTTTTCACTTTTATTTTAAAAATTTGATATCTGAATTTGGAGAGATTTTTTGGGTTACTTGGGGGTTGGAGAGTTGCGAGATATACCTTTTTCAAACCCTCCGTTTTTTTCTTTTTTTTTTTTAGGAAAGATGGTAGGGTTGAAAGCATAGCGTGGAATATATGGAATACATGGAATGGCATTGATGGCGTATATTTTGTTTTTTTTGTTTTTTTTGTTTTTTTTGTTTTTTTTTGTGGCAAAGGATCGTTTGTGTAAGATTCTAATAGGGATGGATTTGGATTTGAATTTGAATCTGGATTTGGGATTGGAGAGCCTGGAACTGGTTATTTAGATGGGAAGGTTTGAGGGACCTTGGGAGATGGTTGGCTTGGTGTGATATGCTGTGATATGCTGTGCTGGGCTGTGCTAATGGTGGATGGATTTATATAGTAGATACTTAGAAAGTGGTTTACAGAATTTTTTAATAACTAGAGAGATTTATTACTCGTTGATGGACTTTTTCATTCCTTTTTACTCGGAGGTGTTGTGATGTGATGTGGTGATTGATTCGTCTTTTTATATGTGTATGTATATGTGTAGTTTGTGATTTATATGATGTGATGTTGTTGTTCGATGGATATTCATTACTGTTGGATGTATAGATAAATGGTAGATTTAATATATTTTGAAGAGGAAGTATATTTGGTTAATCGAAAATTCATATTTTTAATTCAATGTGTAAATTTAAGGATGAATATCCAATAATTTAACAGATATCCTCGATTTTCTGTTCCTTGCCATCATGTGGCCCTAGGTCCAGCTTTAAGGTTCGTCCAAATAGTTCCAAAAGAATCTCGAAACAGGTTTTAGAAATGGCCGGGTCGTAGCGACCTTTTGATAGTTCGTCACGGATAAATGCGTCTATTTTTTTCATGTTAGTAGGTTTTGATTAATGTATTCGTGAAGGAAAACCTACGCTGTGCCCATGCAACTTCATACCAACTAAATGTAATACCCTTCTCCCTCAAAGTTTTTCTAATAAGGTCTCTTCCCTCAGGAGGTACATGATTATCCTTGCATCCGTGAATCATGGCAAGTTCTCCCTTGATCTCGCAAGCACGCGCTAAACTGTCGTCTTTCTTACCGAGACCAAGAGTGGCGCTGTGGAGATCGGTTGCGAAATATGTTACTGCTGCCGAAACGCGGGAATCGAGGGCACAGCGGTAGGCTAGATGGCCACCGAGACACATTCCTGTGCTGCCAATGCGGCCATTGCAGGTAGGGAGTGACAGGAGATAGTCGATTGTCAGGGTAGAATCTTCATCGTAGGCTTCGAGAGTCTGTGAGTGTATGATTAGAAATTGGTTTGAAAGGCATTGGCTCAAAATCTATAGGCGTCCAAAATGTGGTCTAGATCTGGAGATTTCACGCTGAAGAAGCATACCTTTGTGATTTTGTATTCATTGCCGGCATCAGTTCCAGGAACATCATAGGCTAAAGGCTCCGGACCAGTGAATTCATGATACGATGAAGGTGCTGCAACAATATAGCCTTGACCAGCGATTTGTCTTGCGAATCTGGCAACTGGTCCAGTGACTATGATGAAGAGTATCAGCGGATATATTCATACATAGCACGTGAGGATGCGGGGTTGCGAGATAAGAGAGGTAGAAAACAAGGGGGATAGATGTCCATTGAGCAAGCCCCATGGGACTCCAAACGATGAGTTGTCACTACAGCCCAACGTCTATCTCCATGATAAGGAAATGCAAGAGATTAAATTGAGACCAATAATATGACATGAAGAAATACTGATAGGGGATGTTGATAAACCCCACCAAACCCCCACTAACCTTGATAAATCTCACTGAAAAGAACAACACCAGGAAATCGTCTGTGATAAAAGAAAGGCTTCAGTTTTGAACCTTAGATACTGGAACAGTAGCACTACACACGCTTGAGGGTAGTTTGGAATAGTAGGGTGGAAGAGAAAGATTCCTAGAGATAGTTAGTTAGTTTGATTCTTGTTCAGGAGGGGAATGTTCAAGCTGTACTCATTGATCCGTCTTTGCCCCCCGCTCTGGTTGCAACATCTTTGTGAGTTTCTTGGATTAACATTTTGATAGTGATAGATGTGTGATATAGCTAGATGTGCTTTTTGAGTGTTGGCTGATGACTGTTGAAACTATTTGAAGCTTAATATCCAAAAAGAATTCCTTAAAATCAGTAATATCAGATAGATGAAAGGTTGAAATCCTGAGTACCGAGTATCAGATGTTTTCAGAATTTCGGTCGCCGTAGCCCCTCGTTGAAAAGTAACCTGAACAGCTCAAAGGAAAAGCCCTTGAAGCCTTATGATGTTTTAATCCACCGGTCCCGACGCTTCCGATGACACTCGAGTAGGGGGCTCTAATGATCCGTCGTAATCTGTCGTAACCTTAATCCATGTCGCTGATTTTGATATTCCTGCTACACACATTTTTGGATGCCCTGTCCTTTTTTGCTTGCATCAAATACATCAACCGGGGATAAGGATTTGGCTGCTGGACTTTCTACTCTTCCATGCTAATTTTCCTTTCAAATACCTACATAGTATTTCAATAAGCTTCTACTTTATTCAAATAACATCCTATTGCAGAACCTTGCCCCGCTCATCCAAGCTCTACCAAATTAGCACTTGACAAATTTTACCTCCAAACAGCTCCTCGAACTTCCACATCAACCATTTCTCGCGTCGAATTCATACAATCAATCCACTGACCACATCACCTCACCATTCGGTAAATATAATTGGGACGAAAGGGTTTTCACAAATTGAAAACAATGTCTAGTGTGAAAACAAGACGGCAAACAGCTGCCGCTTCTACTCCATCGACTCCAACGCCAGCAGCTCGGGAACAAGCCATCATGAATGGTAATGGTTCAGCACACAAATCCGAGGAGGTGGAATATCCTAAAGAGAACATATTCCTCTTCTGGCCAAATGTTATCGGTAAGCTTCGTCAAATATATGTGCAAATACTTGGCGCATTCTAATATTTTCCAGGATATTTTCGAATCGTTCTCGCATTAGTATCCCTCTACTACATGCCCCTTCATCCACGAACCTGTACTCTCCTATACAGTATCTCCTGTCTTCTCGATGCTCTCGATGGATATGCGGCCAGGGCCTTTGAACAATCTACAAAGTTTGGCGCAGTATTGGATATGGTGACAGATCGTTGTACTACAGCCTGCTTATTGGTCTTCCTTTCTTCTGCGTGGCCTCGATGGGCTCTTCTTTTCCAAGGACTTATCTCTTTGGATTTGGCTAGTCATTACATTCACATGTATGCGACCCTTGTTATGGGAGGAGGAGATACTAGTCACAAGCAAGTCGATAAATCTAGAAGCTGGATCTTGAACTTGTACTACACAAACAAGGTACGTACACCCATGCATACAATGCTTGCCAATTAATCTAACAATTGGATGACAGACTGTCCTCTTCCTCTTCTGTGCCCTTAATGAAGTCTTCTTCATCGCCCTCTACCTCCTTTCCTTCTCTTCCCCCCTTCTCTCACCATCTCTTCTTCAAGTCGCCAACAATGGCGAAGCTGGAGCCACCCTCATCCCTGGAAACCCTTCCAACCCATCCGCAGCATCTCTTTTCGCCAACCCATATAGCGCTGGCGCATTGGAGCTTGCACGCGCAAATAAGATGGACTCTACCTGGCCATGGGTTATTGCTGGTGTCTCTTTCCCCGTCATGGCTGGAAAACAAATCATCAATGTTGTACAATTGGTCAAAGCTAGTCGATGGTTGGCTGAAGGAGATATTGAAACGAGGAGAGCCGCAGGATTACCAAGACAGAGAAAGACGAATTGATCACCTCGTTTGAGGGTTAATGGTCATAATTCTTCCTCGTCTCCTTATTTCCATGGATCTGTTCGAGTCTCTCGACTCATTTGTGTATGATGGGACTTGTCAAGTCCCTGACACAAATCTACACATTGGTTGTGTAGTTGTATCAGATATATTGGCCATGTACAGTGCCATTTTTGCATTCATTCGTTCCTTTATTCATTCATTTTATCTATTTCCAAATCACACAATAGGGAGCAAATGTAGAGAGGAATGGCGTCGGAACTAATTCACTGCCATCCCTTTACACGATAGGCATGTGAAGTAGGGTAAAGGTTTGCATTCAATATAATAATAATATGTCAATTGCATTTGAACTGCATTTGAATTGTACCTGTATATGCAATAGCTACTTGTGAAGCAACGAAAGAGGACTTTGTGAGACATGCCTTGAGGAAATTAGGTTATTGCCTAGGCTTTAGTGGGAGAGAGGGCTTGCATTTGATGAAGAAACGTTGATCAGAACTTCACATGCACATATGCGGTGTACAGTACCTACTTAAATAGTATGTATATGTAATAAATATGTATGGCCCTGATGGTCGCGTGTTCATGTGAAGATCTTGGGATGGATTTCGGATGAATACCCGTAATGTACTCCGTACAGGATCGTAAGATGATAATCCGAAGTGTTTATTGTTACCTAGGTACCCATGGGTGTGTGATTGATTGATGATAGGTGATTGGGTTTGTACGAGTATGTATATATGTGAATGATTTTGGGATCGTTGATTGCAGAGTGTTAGTTATGTGAGGTTATATGTATGGAGTTTAGATGGTTTGTAGATAGATAGATGGTTGTACAAGGGAATGCCGGATATTTCAGCCGGGGAGGTTTATGTATGGTGTGTATTAGATAGAGTATTAAGTATTAGGTAGGTATGTACGGAGTATGTATCTATGTATGTATGTGTAATGTTTGGGTTTAAGGTTTGACGTGTGACAATGTTGGGTATGGCTGGATTGGCAAGATCTGGAGTTGTTCTTCGTTCGAATTCCTATTGCGGTGGGTAAATGTTCTTTTTCGAGTGTTTGATGATTGTCCTGCTTTGTTTTGTTGCTAACGTTGAATTCCTGGGTACGGTCACCGGTGGTAGGTAGCATAGCCGAATTCAACCTCGTGGGGAATTCACCTATTTAATTTGAGTGAGTGTTGCTTTCGTGCTGTGTTTGTAGATATTTAATTATTTATTAAGTAATTATCATAATCATATATCAAACTTATCAGTTTATATCTTTTCCTTTTTACCTCTTAATTCATCGATATATTGATATATAATTCTAATCAACTCATTAATATATTCATATATAACCAGAATTAATTCATTGGAATTGGATAAATTATATGAAAGAAGTGAGTTGACATGTGGTCTTCTTTCACTACTTTTCCACGCACATAATACCTACATAAAATTCCATCCCCCCCTTGTATAGCGGGGGTTTACCTCCCAAGTACCTCCGTATCTATCGTGTTTGCAGCCATCATCTCCACTTCAACCTCGAATATTCAATCTTCACTGGTTTTCCACAACTTCACTAAAATCAGAGACTCGACCCAACCCACAATCTCTTCGCTTCTAGAACGAGGCAAACCAAGGATTCATTTTCTCTCCACTCAATCCCCAATCATCATATCAATTTAGACCGACTTATGTCAGTAAATTCTTCCTACAATTACCATTCTTATACCTCGATCCAAGCCAAATCCTACTTAGCATGCAATGCTCTTCACAAGCTGGACAATAGACCAGGGCAAAAATCTACTAATACAACGCAACCCAACCCAACATACACCACATTCCGCATTCACTCGATTTCTATAACTTTTTAATCACAAGCTCGACCTTTTCAATCATTCACTCTGTTCTTGGTATGCATCAAATTAAACACAAGAATAGGGATTCATCATTTCCTACTTCTCGACTCTCTCCAACAACATGTCAGCTACGTCACCCCCACCACGATCTCGATTCTCACCAACTCCGGTTGAAGAGACGGTGAAGAAAGTAAGAAAGTTCGCCATTGAACCTGTCGAGACAACAACAAGAAGTAATAAGAAGGAAAATGTAGAGGTTGTTGAGGATACAACTGCAACCAAGGACTTTGCGGTTGCTGCCCCGCCAAAAAGACGTTTCCTGCCTCAACCCGTTGAAACCACACAGAAGTCAAGCAAAGCGAGGGTACCCAATCCTCCGCCAACTCCAGAGGTTACACCTGAGCCCAAACCACAAGCTCCCGCTACTGCAGATTCACCGGCTCCTCGAAGGAGATTCACACCCCAGTTGATAGAAACATCACAGAGGTTCAAGAGATCAAATACTCCCGGCCCCGCTACTTTACCCATCGATAAGACTGATATAACGCCTGTATGTTCTGCGACTTTTCCTTCCCATGGATAGTGTCTAATGTTTCCTAGGGTACAAATCACATTTACGTAGACAGAAAACGAAAATATGTACGACCCATACCAGTCCCTTTAGCACCCGAGAATACTCCAGTTTCGTCATCTACAGATATACACTCTCAAATTCCGCCTTTTTCTCCACGTCGACAACCCTCCATGCGACCTCACCTTAATACTAGACAGACCACGCGATCAAATTCTTATCAACCAGAGTTGGACCCTATAGAGTCAGATGAGAATTCACAGGAGGATTCGGAGGAGGAGCATGATGGCGAGTCTACTCCATCATTATCTGGTTCATTAGGATCTTCCGAAGATTCTATGCTAAGAATGCAAATGGCACGAACACGAGAAAGTTGTGATGAGCGATTTTCGGGTTATCTCCTGGCACTAGCTGCCAAAGCTGCTGAGAAACAACTCATGGAACAAGCATTGGCGGCATTTCCCAACGAGTCTGCATATGAAATTGTGGAACATTTCTACGATAGAGAGATAGATACAGCTTCGGAGGAAGATTCGGTGGAAGGGGTGGGCATGTTAGTGGACGATGCACATATTCAGGAGCTACGAAAAAATTCTACTGAGGTTGGGTGGGCAGCAAAAGAAATGCAGCAACATCAAGATAATCTGAATCGGTTGAGAGAAGAGGAGGCCAATAAGAGAGTAGCTGAGGAAGCCACAGCCCCAACATTTCACGATCCATTTTGGACAAATGGAATGACGGATAAAACCCAGCCGAGCGGTACTCCTCAAGACAAACAGAAGGAAGCTGAATTAGTTCGAATGCGCAACGCGGCATCTCCTCCAATGCTTGGTGGTGAGTTAACATTTCGCATGTGTCCGTCACCCAAGGCGACAAAATTTGAATCCGATCAACGACATGACGTACAGCTGCATCGGGTCGAAGATGGTGGAGGATTATGGGGCGGTTATTGTGTTGCCGAGGAAAGTGAGCAATATCTCTCCCCGGATGTTGTCAAGAGACCGCAGATGATTGCGACCCCACAAATTGAAATGGACGATCCGTTTTCTTCCGCATTTTCAAACGCAGTACCAGAGGCTCCTGCCAAATCGTCGGAAAAAAGCAAGGGTGGTCTTCAGATGCTAAGTGGATTGGACGATAGGTTAAAAGCCGAAGTTGCAAGGTCCAAAGCTGAAGATAGGTTGTTGGAAGAATTTGACGATACCTTCGTCACGCAAGTTTATAATTACCTTTCCCTTGGATATCCATCTTTAGCTCGGCAATACGACGAAGAACTTGCAAAGATTTCTAAAATTTCTGAAGATGAGCTGCGAGTAGATGACAAAAGTCAGAATATTAAAGGTCATATCGGATTGGTGGCTGTTGATGGCCATGTAGAAGAGAAGACTGGAAAATCTATTAATGGCGAGAGATGTGAAGGTGGCTATGGTGCAAGATGGAAAGCTTTACGAATATATATCTTAGAGTGGGCTCGTCAACATCCATCAATGTCGAATGGTGCCGCATCACCAAGTGCATGGGGAGTACGAGCCAGAAGAGGAAGTTGGGCTATATGATTTAATCTTTCATTTCTTTCGAATAATGGTATATGAATTATACGTGTTGTCATTCTCTAGCGAAGTGTGTCGCAAAGTTATACACAAGTAGAAAGTTGGGGCAAGGCGTTAATGTATAGGGGAATGCTTTCGATTGTTTTGCTTTAGTTATATTTATGAGATAAATTACGGCCGGGATATCTCTATATCGTGAGAGAAGGCTATGGAAAAGGAACATTCATTGTTATTAAATTTTGGGGATCATCGAGTCGAAAAAGCTTTTTCGCTTCTCTTTGGTCGCTTCATTTGTACATTCAATTCGTTCAATTTGTAGAGTTGTAGTAGATGAAGGGGTTAGTTGAGTGAGGTTGGGAATGGAGGGATATATTAGGAAAAGGGGGAGATTTTGGAAGATTTGGAAGATATATATGATTATATGATTATTGTTTTAAAGATTTAAAGTTTTATATGAATTTATGATGGGGATGGTGAGGATGGTGAGGGTGATTGGTGGGTCTAGAGCAATGGGTGATTGATTGTAGGAGGCTTTGTAGATGAATGGATAATGGGGAGATGGAGAGATGGGGAGGTGGAGAGATTGAAATGTGAGTGGAATTGGAATTTGGAATTTGGAATTTGGAATTTAATGGATGGGTATGGGAATGGGTATAGGTATACGTATAATAAGTATAAGCATGGGTATAGGTATAGAAATAGAAATAGGTGAATAAATATATGATCTTTTATTTGAAAGGTATTGATGAATATCTAGTATTGTTCTATAATTGTAATTGTAGTGTTATGAGATTTGGTATGTGTATATAGGATAGATAAATAGATGAATGGATAGAAAAAAGAAAAGGGGGGGAGGTATATGAAATGTGTATGGAGTAGGGGTTAGAATACCGATCAATAGATATAGGATAGGATAATAATGACTGCACGAATAGATGAATGGACTGATCGATAGGTAGTATAAGATGATATAATAAATACTTATAGTATTTGACCTTTTTAGGTTATGTGTTTATGTATATATAGGAAAAGAGGGAGAAAGGGGGAGAGAGGGGGAGAGAGGGAGAATATAAAGAGAGAGAATTCTAATCCTTGAATTTGAAATTCTAAATTGAGTTTGGGTATTGGAGGTTAAGATTTAGGATGTGTAATATAAGATTGATATCTATTGGTGAGTTTGTAGAGTTTGAGAGGACCGGGATAGGGGGATAAGTTAGGGAGTGTGACTGGGTGGTGTAGGAGAGATTAGAGTGGAGGGAGGGGAGAAGAGGAGAAGAGGGGAGGAGGGGAGAATGGGAAGAAAGAAATAGAGGGAGGGAGAGAGGGAAGGGAAGAGACTTGATGTGAAACTAAAATGATAATAATAATCGAAACTCCCGGGACGGGGGGGAAATGAGGGAAGTGGTTGAGGGGGGGATGGGGGATGAGGTGAATTTGAAGGGGATGAGGGACGAGAGTAGAGGAAAAGTAGAGAGTAAAGAACATAAGTAGAAAGGAATTTCCTAGGAAGGATATTTGATTGTAGTATAAGTTTATTTAATTAACTAATTGATTGATGAGTTTCCTTTTTGTTAGAGTAAAAAGAGGGAGGGAGAGGATGAGGGTTTGAGGGGGTATAATATATAAATATATTGTAACGATACTGTACTAAAGGCAGCGGCTGCCTAAGGTTCGTCGGTTGGTAGTTATGGGTTAAGGCTTTATCACTGGTATTCACTTGAAAGTGAATTCGTTACTAGATCAAGTAGAATGTAGGTAAACTAATTGATAACTAAGTTGAGCACGAAGCTCCTAGGGCTCCTTATCACGTGATTTCTGATGGTGCGTGCGCATACGATCTTCAGGTGACCAAGATCACATATTAATTCGATGAAATCTGATCGTGTTTGCACAAGGCCTAAGCTTTCCTAATTAATCAGTTTGCTACCATCGTAACACCATCAATCCTAATGGTGAATCGTGACATATATCTAAAGTTGATTTTTATATATATTTAAAATATTATTATTTTTTAATATATTTTCTTTTTATAATTATCTATTAAATAATAAATACTAAAACAAATCTAATTGTAACGATACTATACTGGAGGCAGCGGCTGTCTAAGGTTTCGTCTGGTTGGTAGTTGTGGGTTAAGGCTTTATCACTGGTCTTCACTTGGAAGTGAAGTCGTTACTAGATCAAGTAGAATGTAGGTAAACTAATTGATAACTAAGTTGAGCACAAAGCTCCTTAACTACGAGACTAAATGAATGTTTATATACCCTATATCATCTTTTGAGGACCTTTGGGACCCTAAGGTCCAAAAGGTCCTCGAGGTCACGTGAATTAATGAATCGTGACACTAATCTAATTTAATCTAATACTAAATACTAAATACCAAATCTATACTATCTCCTCAAATTCAAAATCTAAACCCCTCAATAAAAATTCTTGAATCCAAACCAAAACTCTTCATAAATAAAAGAATACTCAAAAACAAAACCCCTACCTACAACCACAACGAATCCTCCAAAATCCAAAACTCAAAAATCTAATGAAATAATCTCAACTTCTTATACAAATACTATACAAATACAGATACTATACTATCTAAAAGAATATAAATCATAAACTACCTACCTACCTAGACATCACCGACCAACCGACCGACCGACCGACCGGTAAAAATCGGATAATACTGGGATGGACTAGGCTGGGCATACTATACTTATACTCTATCTATATAAAAAAAGGTAGCCGGTGTCGGAGAAGTAGTAGATATGCAATAATTTTTTTTAGTTTGGTTATGGTATTGTATAGTGTGGTGTTATAATGTTAATGGTTGCGTATTTATATGTGCAGGGGATATTATAGGAGAGGAGAGGGGGAGGGATTAGATTGGTATTGAATTAGATCATTTTATGATTGAAGAGGGTGGGAGACTATGATCTAGTTTAGATTTCTTACTGAGGATTTTTGAGGACGAAGATAGATACTAAACTAAAAGAAAACATGGAAAGTTAAGAAATCCATTATCAAGCAAGTAGAAGAAGAGAAAGCAAGATAATATTTCATAATTATGATGAGTGGCTGGCTATTCATTGAGTATTTTCTATAGAGGGAGATAGGATCAAGATGAAGGAGCATTTAGGGCTGATATCTTAACGAGGCTTTCTTGTCAATGATATAGAATATGAGAAGTGAACACAATAAATCTACCAAAGGACTTGTAAATTCGAAAGAATAATTAACGATGGCGCCGGGTTGCAGGTGATACCTGGGGACCCGAGTTGAAGGTTAGAAGGCCAACAATTGAGATAATCGCCTTTTTCCGTATCATCATGCAGTTTAAGAATAAGCGAAGACTTAGATATGTATTCCTAACCGGTGCATAGGTAGCTTTACTGATGATTGTATGAGACACGAGTATGTCTGTGATATGAACTTGTGGTGGAAAGAAGAAATAGAAAAGCTCGTGATGTGTTGAATAGATAATCTTCCTCACTCGGGGTCTATCATACTGGAAACAAGCAAAATGATGCTTCAAGTGACATACTAGAAATACCTCCAAGTTCAAAGAGATATTCAAATGGGTTAAAATCAAAGACGATATCTGCTACAGTGGATAGATGATCTAAAAACAACGCATCGTCATGGAGAAAAGAGAATCTAGATTCTACTCCCGTTAACACCATTCAATCTGTAAGATATCTAATAGTAGAAGAAAGTCTATCTACAGTATGAGGCTCAACACAGCAAATGACGTATCTGGAGCTACGATACTGAAATAGACCACAAATCTAGAACTCTCAGAACCTTCTGTGCAAACCTACTCAGCATGAACAACGAACACAGATTTCCATTCAACGGAAGCAAAAAGTTTAGAAACGTCATTTCTCAACAAGCATAATCCCAGATCCGCATATATTCCCCGTTCCCAAAAGGTCTGTCTCCTTTGAACGGTCCTCCTAGAACGACGAAGCTTGACCTCGAACCAAAATAGTCGTCTTTATATAGACCATGACCGTGCTATAATGCGCTTCATCAAGCGCAGAAGCGGCACTTGCCACTATTTTTGGTATCTCGGGTGTCTTTCCGCATAATTATGGATGAAACGATAGTCGGAGAATAACCACGTTCCTCTTAGGGCGAGGGTTCGTGGGTTCATCTGAACTTTTATGTGTTTATCTTGTATCAATACTATCTAGAGATATATAACATTTCCAAGAATAGATAATCTTGACGAATGTGTGAGACATGGACTAGTGCAACAAAAATATAGTTTTGGCCATGAGGGAATGGAAGTCAAATTTTGGAGTCCATGATTTTGCAATTGCATTCAAGGTTCGGAAGTATTCCCCGGAATATCTTCTATCAGTGGTGGAATATTGTAAAGGCTGAGCCAAGGTAGTGGTCGGCCAAATAGTGTTGCCGTGTCCTTGACACATAACCTCGAGGTTGTAAAATGAAGATCATCGTATTTTACCTTCGGTGACTTATCACGTGAGAGTCACATGCAATCCACATATAAAAGCCACTTTTCCCGGGGTTTGCCTTACGACCTAGGATCAGGGTAGATTAGGTACGGTACTTAATAGCAACCCATGAAATGATCTAGAAGAATGAAGAAGCAAGCGTTAGTGCATAAACCAAAAAAAGGGGGAAATGGTATGTCTCAAACTTAGTCCAAGTTCCAGACTTCGCAGACTTCCCAGATTTCTCAACCTCCTGATAATCTTAGTCATTCCCACGTGTGGACGACGGAAGGAGAGACAGGAGATCGTAAGTAAGTCATGTATCCTGCCTTGAAGCCCGATCCATCAACTGCACTGATAAGTCTCGGAAGGATTCGTGAATAATGAGACCTGCTACCAAAGTCTCGGGGGAGTGTGCGCTTGGCCGTAGACTAGGGGATTTATGAGCACATTACCATGCGATCTATATCCATGTCCACTTCAAATATATCGATCCCTATCAATATTGATAAGTCTGATACGAATGCAGATGAGGCTCAGGCTCACCATATCTTTAATCCATGCTGGTTCGGATCCTAGTTACGAAAGGAAAAAATTTAAGACCCTAAAAGAAACTTTCATAGAGGAGCTGACTTGACATATCATATTAGATCGTAATTCAATAGAAAAGAAATTTTTGATCATCTTCAAGACTGATAATAATTTTCCCTGTTTGCCTGTTTTCCTTGTTTGCATCAATGTATCAGAATTTCCTTTCCCATTGAACCAAAGATCGAAATCGAGAAGTTTTGTGACCAAAGAAAATAGATTGGATCCAAACGGGGAGGGAGATCCCGTCTGAACGGTACGGGTTGACGGAGATTGCTGCTGCATTGCAGGTCGCCCAACAGCTCGGGAACATTGTTGCATGAGATGAACTTGTTCCCCATGGTATCATACAGGATTATCTAAGGTAGGGTAAGATTTCGTATGGTATCCAATTGGAAAAGGTAGAAGAGTCATGGAAAATATTACATTCCTTCTAGAAACCTCGGTAGAACACATGAGGAAGGCAAGGAAGCGTTGCCGACGGGGCATTTACAGGGCATTAAAGAGTAACATGGTACAGAATTTTGGTACTGTGAGTAACCACGCATGGGTGTGCAAGGTGTTTTAGATGAAGGTATGCAGGGACCCGGGCTCCGAGATAGAAGACTTTCGAAGAGTTCTTTCATTAATCCGGTGGGGGCAATTAGTGGGAAGATGTTGAATCTCCTGGGTCTTTACGGAGTAGTAGTTTCATTTTGTTCCCAGTGCATCCTGGTGGTTGTGAGCAACGGCCAGCGGGTTAGAACAAACGGTCGCGCATTCGCGCTTCTTCTTCATGCAAAGTCTGGTTAGCTTATATGTGTGGATCCTACCAGATATGCTCCGTGGGACGTAGGGGTGGATGTTGAAAGCTGTGGAAGTCAAGGGGAAGTATAGCTGCTTCCGGCAGAGTTTGTGATATCCACCTTTCCACGCGATATGTAGGGAACATGGGAACATGAAAAGGCGTGGGGACAAGGTTAGCCCTTTAGGGGGCTGACGGGAGGATGGTTGCATAATCAGTCGTCATGCTGTGGCATCATCATATCGTCTTTGGCTCACTCGAAATTTAGATTTTGAACTTGCTATTCAAACCTTAGTTGAATGAACTGATACGATACGTAGGTGTGTAAGATTGGTGAGATTCTTGAGCAAGTAGTAAGAAAGGTCTACGAACGTAAGATACCGTTCATCTGAATGAAGCTTACACCACCACACTGTCGCATGTAACGAGGGATCGCTATCGTTCAAAGTGGAGCTGCCTAATTCGTGTTCTGATGGACATTGAGTAGAGAGGGGTACAGACAGGCACAGACACAGGCATAAGTGATCATTGATGGCTGATTTTGTAAAATGGATGAGATAGGACCGATTACTTACTTCATTCCACGTAGAGCCAAGCCAAGGTAACTAATACTATTTATCTATCATTCGTTGCATCTCTTGCAAATTTATGGTACGGTGTTGCAAGGTCAGTCAATAGTCATGAGAATTGGTGGCATCAGCGAGGTGCTTGATACGAAAAGACGCGAAGCAAGCTGAAAGAGAGAGGCGAGAATTAGCAACAACATTACGATAAGCTTAGG